GACAGACTATGACAGACTAATTACGCTACAAACAAAGCAATGGAGTGGTGACTCTGCGATTCGTTTGGTGGTTTTTGTTTGTTGCCTGGTGGCCGTACCAAACTGTGAGGCTTGGTTCCCTTCAAGATCGATGGCGGGTGACGGGTGGTTCGGGGTTTCGTAAACCTCCATCAACTGACCACTTTAGGAGAAGAGTGGCTCAGAGGTGGTGACAAGCAGGAAGGGGAACAGTTGGAGGAAGAAATCCAATCAAGGAGTACAGCCTGTTTAGAGATTGGTTGGGATTGTTTGGGGGGAGTGGTTGGGGGGTCTCCCTATTCCTCCCTTCTTTCAATGCACCAGGCTGAACTTGGAGGACGATGAACCGGCACTGGAGGCTGCCCGCACTTGGCTGGAGAAGAAGGATGCTGAGGACATCATCGAGCCTCGATCAAGTGACTGGTGTCCCGAAGAATCCGAAGGGACCATCTGAAGAGGCATCTCGACGTCTCAACCTGTAGAACGAGATGTTTCAACTTTCAACAGTTGTTTGCGTTGAGAGGTTCAGAGCCATAAAAAGTGTATCTTGGACGAGAGTCCCCCCAAACATGCCCCAAGGCCCCAACTTACGATCCATCCGAAGCACGCACCCTACTCACAGCTGCGGGCAATGGGGTGCAAAGGGCTGAACTCAGCGGGTGGTGGATTTCGATGTTCATCGAGGCACGTGGCACGTGGTGTTCGCTGTAGTAAGTGTTGGATGCTTCATGATGCTTCTATGCTTATCCAAGATGCTGGCACCTTCCCAAGGATCACCACCCGTGTGTCTACATGACTGGTGAACCTCCTTTGGACAATGTTGGACACCCCTTTAGGGTTAGTTACTGCATTGTGAATGTCGTTCATTGGAGAGGGGATGGGATATATAATTAGGGAGAGGATGGCGACTCCGGATTGGAAGTGAAGATGGCTGCCTTGAGGATGTGCTAGCCAGTGCGGGAGTGAGGATGGCCTCTAGCTGCTGTGGTCATATAAGTCCTTTCTATGTATATATTATTAATTATATATATATATAATAAGGCTTTAGTTGGCAGGTACGGTCACCAGCCGCCACTGGCCCATTCCAGTGAGGAACCCCTCCTGGAACTTCTGCAGATTTGCACTCATCTCCCCATCAACCTCCTGGAGCTCGTCGCCCGTCGCTTGGACGCTGCGTCGTCTTCCTCGCGCAGCCGCGCTGCGGCTGCGCAACTGCTGGGTGCGGCGTTTGGTGCGGTGTCGGGCTGGGTGCTGCCCGAGACGATGGCACAAAGTCACTTGGGCATTGAAGCTGAAAAAGGGGAGAAAGAGGTGGATCTAACTCAGCTCGAGTGGCCCAAGATGGCCCAAGGCCCTTGCAATGTAGGACCTGATGACTATAGTTACTATAGTATCTCAAAAGATGGACGCAGGGAAAGAAGTGGAAATAGGTGGTGTGATGTCTCAACTTTTTGGGACACTGCTCGGCAAACCCAAGAGTTTTGGGCAATCAGATGACGACATCTGGATTTCATCACAGCTTGTCATCCACTGGTCTCAACTAAGTTGAAAGGCTCCAGGAGTGTGTTTCCAGGAGCCCCAGCGCACCCAGTAACCTGCAGCTTCGTGACCATCCTTGAACAACTCGTCCGTTGTAAACGCGCTTGTTATTGGTGCCTGTCAACTCAGCAAAACGAAGCCCTGAAGGGTGGGGGCTCATTTGATGACAGATGGAGAAATGAGAAATGGAAACCATGGCATTGCTGTGAGCGAACTGTATTTGATGTCAAGAACTGGCTGTTTTGGGGGGGCAAACTGGTCATGCAGTGTCCAAGTTTACAACCTCCAAGGATTTGCAAAGCAAAGCAGGTTGACACTCACACCAGTGAGGCTTGGCACGATGTGTGTGGGATCCTTGTCCACGGGTGCGCCAGCAGCTGAAGGCGCATGTGGGGCACCTGCAGCCGGACATCATCCTCGAGACTCGCTTACTGAACCAGACTGAACACCGAATTGTCGAGAACCCCATGGGACGTCTCCCATGCAGCACCACGGGCCGTGTCAACAACACAAACGGACATGGAATAGGCGTCAGGTGTGGGTTTTCCCGTTCATGGACAACGCTCAGAGAGAGGGCAGAGCTCAGTACAACCATTCATAGACCAGATTCAAGGTATGGCCATGATATGCCGCTATGCCTGATATGCCATGATGATCCATGATGAATCTCCACCTCTGCAAGACGTTACTGTTGCCTTCCAAGGGACAATGCCATCCAAATGCCATCCACGTCCACGATATGGAGTGGGTTTCATAGACTTTCCGTTTGGAGCATGTGTTCTTCCCTTCGGCCATGAACCATTTCGGCCAACGTCAAGACTGCGGAACCGTCTTCATCCACTCGCCGGGTTCAGCACCACCACTTGCCCCCAAGGATGCGATCCGCACCGGACCGTTGCTCCCGGCTGCGGGGTCTGCGCAAAAGTGCCACGCGCTGGAGCTCTTGGAGCTTTTGCCGGTGGAGCTGCCAGGGATCTTGGAGGTGGCCATGGACTTCATGGAGGACGAGTCGGCACAGGTGAGTTTTGGTGTTTGTTTTTCTCGCGGAATCAGTGCTTCACCATGTCATGTCAGGGCTTCTGTATATTGTTTGGTGTGTGACTTGTTCATCTCGTTCTTTTCACGTACAGTGCTGACATGGAAGCAGATGGAAGCAGGGTTTGTGGTGGGATATGTCACTGTCAGACGTGTCCTGGCGCACGGAGCTCAATCTTGAAGCTGTTCGATTTGGAGAACTGGACCATATTTTGTGAGACTACCGCAGCAGGATTCCACCCCCCTGTTTGGCTTTTCTTGGCCATACCATGCCATACCTACCTTGCAAATCCTATTTAACATTAAGTTATGTAACAAGTTACAAAACAAAAACACCCTTCCCAGCTCTCTCCATATCTATCTCAAGGCCTTTCCATTCCCTTTCGCCTCACAGGTTCGCACCTCCGCGCTCCGCGCCCTCCGGCGCCTGCCCGGCCGCAGCGCCGCGCTCCACGCCGCGCTGGGCGACGGCGACGCCGCGGTGCGCAGCGCCGCCTGGGCGGCGCTGGTGGAAGCGCCATGGGACGACGCGGTGGACGTGGAGCAATTGGTGGAGCCCTTGGGCGTCAGTGGAGCCCTGGGGGGCCGTGGGTTCGTTCGGGCGGTGAGTTGGGCCCTGGAAAGAAGAAAGACCAGAAAGAAGCAAGCGTTTGTTGGTGGCTTAGGTTTGAACAGGTCGGTTTAAACGTTTAAATATATAGTTGAATGGGGCTGGCGTAGGGAGGATCCGAGAGTAGAATCATCTCAAAAGAATGTAGGGAGAAGGTAAATCGAAATGGCAAATCATTAATCCTACAGGATCCAAATCAACGGTTGTTTATGTTTTGTTGTTTTAAATAACTGCAGATGCATTTGAGGACAAAACAGGGGTCAGTACAGGGTTTCAAGCTAGGCATGTTTGTCTTTCTGGAACATGTTTTGCATGCCAAGGTCGCTCGGGGCCCCGTCCTTGGCAGACTTTCTAGCTACGAGCCAGCCTCACTGGAGCACCAATGCTCGAGCTGCTGCGCTGTCGAAGCTGAAGGTGTTGAACGTGACCAGCGTGCCGCAGCTGCAGCGTGCACTGCCGGGGCTCAACCGAGCACTGAGAGCCCAAGGTTTGAAGACCTTCAAGGAGGACCCCCGACATGTTCAGCAGAAGACTTGGGATTTTGCTTGTGATTGTGTTTGATCCCTAAGCTGGATAGATGAAACCACTTTTAAACATATCATGTAACAAAGTTCTTGTTACAGTTTTGTGCCTGTCAGGAGACGCTCCGCGCTTTCGCGCGCAGTGCAAAAATTAAGGAGGAGTGTTTCGTGGGACGTTTGGGGGGGGCATTCCTCAAGCTACACACTCATCTTGGGGATCAGATTGATTTTTGTGATAGGTGTTTTGGACATAAAGGATCATGTTCATTGTGGATTTCGTGTCTTGGTGCCATCACAAAGCCAGGAACCATCGAGGTTGCTCCCTGGAAAAGTGGAAGGCTTCCTGAAACAGTTGGTCGTTGAAATCCAGGAATTGCTCAGGGGTCAAGGATTTCACCATTTGCAAACTTGGCCCCGCAACGAAAACACATTAGTCATGAATGACTGAAGAACACGCTTTGCCGTGTTTGGACCAGTCAAGCGCGTTTGGAGTTTATATATATATATATTATATAAAGGGATGTCCGGTCCGCATTCTGCACTATTATATGGTTATGGATGGAATTGGTTTCATCCCTCCTTTTGCCTGTGTTTGGTCAGGGCCAATGCGCCGCGCTTTTTCTTGGAGACACAGAGAGAGAGAGAGAGAGAGAGTTAGGAAGGCGACGCATGGTGGTTGCAGCGCAGAATGCAGGCGTTAGACATCAATGTAAAGAAGGGCAGGATGCGAAGCCATGAGTGGCCTATGCCCAACATATGTCGACAAAAGGTTAAGGACAGCCATCCTACACGACCTGAAATCAACGCAAAAATAAAGGAGCCAAGGGGGGCCCGAAGGGTCAACCTGTACGACCCATCACGGGGCGTGTGGAAGTCAATCAACCCGCACACACACATGTGAACCTCTTCCACATCATCAGTGCAGCCTGGGAATGTTCCCAAAGACCTTCAAGCAGCCATGAGTTCTGACATGTGCGTGGCGAGGCCTCGAGGCCGAACAGCCCACGGTGTGAAACAGTTGCACGTCTTAGATGCCTTGCGGGGCCTTTTGGGGCGGGGTCATGAAAACTGATTGATAAAGACGTTGCCAGATAGCATTATCTGCCACCTTGGGTAAACTTTATTTGCCTTAGGGCTCATAAACTGATCAAAATGGACCAGATCATGAAGCCACATCAGCAAGTTACACTGTGATGCAGACGCCATGTGCTGTGCAAGCTCCGCTTCCCGGCCTTCCCGGGATCTGTCCTGCTGCAGGACACGCGCCCGGTTTTTTCATGCACTTCAGGAGCGACTCGCTGAGTGTCACAAGGACTTTGCTCGGGACGTCACTGCTGGGGTCCTTGATCTTGGCATCTCAGCGAATTCAAAGCCCAAAGGCGAGACGAATTCCGTGCACGGCCACTTCTGCAAAGCGGGACGCCTTGCTTCATCAGTTCCGGGACGCCTTCTATGTGAAAGGCTATCACAGCGGGAGGTACTTGGGAGCCACGCATGATGGGCATGTGATACATGACGAGGTGCCCACAGAGTTCCACTTATTTGTCTTCGTGCCGGGGATGGATGTCTTTACTGGCTTTGTGAAGCTGTACCATCTGGCCTCGGATCGATCCATTTTCGTGACACCGGAGGGGCTGCTGGGTTGTTATCATGGAGACTTCGAGGAACATTGGTGGAGAGTTCTGCCCAGGGATGACAAGGGAAGCTTCTCGTTGGTGAATTTCGCCACAGAGTCTTGGCGCGAGTCGAGACCGGCCCCGTTTTTCTGGCAAGACATGTTCGTGGGGTGCAGAATCACATGGCTTGCGGCGTTTGCACCCGATTCACTGTAGAACTCTGCGGGGGGCCCTTGCCTTGGAGACCAGGGTTTGGGTTCAGAGCAGCGGGGTAGATCTGAGAGGTGTTTTTGGTTCTTGACTTGACTCCTATGGATCTGGTTCTAGGTCGCAGGGAGTGACACTTCCCCACGTGACACGGGCATACGGCCGTTCCACCAACGAACCAGCCCTGATTCTGGTAGACTCTTCGGTTTTTGTTTGTGAAGGTCACATGCATGACTTCTACAGGGTGCCACCTGAATGCTTTGCCAAGCTCGGCAAAGCGACCATTTGATCTGAAGGTGCCGATCCCCGTGGCTTCCATTCCAAGTCCCTCCAACATCTCCAGTCCCTAGTAGCGTCCGGCCAGGAGCGCCCCGGTCGTAGCGTGCGATCGCTACTCTGGCGTCCGGCGCCATGACACTTCGGCGTCCCGCCATGACACTCACGGATCGTCACGGATCTCACAACACAACGGTCTCCTGGAAAACATGGAAGTGGAACATTCACCCCGTGGTTCGTAAAGGAATAGCAGTCTTCCAAGGGACCATGCCATCCACTGCATGTTACTGTGTCAGAGTGTAGATATGAGATATCTATAGATCTCATCTCCTGAAGCAGTCCAGACTGCTAAGGAGTTCTTGATCTACTCCAATTCCGATGGGCGCCTGGGGAGCTTCTTGGGCGACTACTTCGAGGATCAGCTCTTTTGGTGCGAGCACCCTGCGAGACACTGGGACAACGAAGTTTGGGGCGGCGTACAGGAAGCATATACAGAATATACAGGTACCTATTCATGTTTAAAGTTTAAAGGGTTGTGTTTATTACTTAAGTGAGGGGATAAAGGGCGCCCTTATTCCTGCAATAGGCACCCCTTTGTGACTCCTGGTAGTGATGCAGAATTGCATGTAGAGGCGTTTAAAATAAACAATATATATAATATTAATCGTTGTTGCATGTGCATATGCAGCTGTGGATGTGTAACCAGGATAGTCGTCCACCCCACCCTATTTGGCCACACAATCTACGAAGACTCAAGAGAGTCCTGGTTTTCCGATGCCCTCTTTCGTTTTGCCGTTGAAAAAGGGCAACTCTCAAGAGAGCTCCTCCCCATCCTGGCTGAGGAGCTGGGACCGCCGTGCTACCCATCGAGTCTGAAGAGCTGGTTGGAGTGGAAGATGCGGGATTCCTTTGGGAAGGCGCCTGGAAGCTGTGCAAGGCTGAGATGGCTCAAGCTAGATAACTCATAGTGAGTGTCATAGTGACATATCTAGTCGAATTGAGGGATCCTGAGGCAGATGCCAGACTTGACCACGGTCTTTTTTGTCAATGTTTTGAAGGGTTTGTGCATACTCAGGGGCGACCTATCCTATACCACGGTCAGCGACATAGGGACTCCTATACACATGAGTTGTGTAGGTCCGGGGCCTACATATGGACAAACATATGTAAATCAAGTTGAATTTATAACTAATCATTGGCACCGATTGGACCAGTTTGGGGTCACGACAATTCATGCAGCTAAGCCATTTCTCGTTGAAAAGAGCTTGACCACCGGTCATTGATTCCCACCTGGACCAAAACCCACTATGCCAAGCCACCCTTTGTTCCTTGAAATCCATTGAACAACTCCTAAGAAGCCCGGTTTTTGAGGCGCCCCGCCTGCCTGGCTAGCGCACGCCGCACACGTTCAGCGGCCCTTACGGCCTTGGCAGGCTGCCGACCCGTCTACACGGACGCCTTCCAGGTGCGGCACTACGTGCGCCCATCGGGCGACGATCAACTCCAGGGGCTCGGGGAGGTGTGGCGGGCCTTGGCGCCCATCGGCTGGGGCAGCGCCGCAGATCTGAAGCGCCTGGGCGGGCGGAAAACGAAGAGGAAAGAGGTGGGACCACACTGAGTATGGACCAAGGACGTGAGGTTTTTCCAAATCATTTGGGTTGGATATTTGGATGCACATCCCGGAGGTTGACCTACAATTACGAGTGCCCTGCTTAACCGTAACTTGTGTGTGTGTGACACACTGTAAAATATATGATGCTATGATATGTCCAAGTGGTGAACGCGTGGGCGCCCACATCATGTGGCGGTGGGCGAGCCACATCGGCTGGAAGCGGACGTCCGCCATAAGCCAGGACCCCCTATAAGGGTGTTCTATGTGATAGCCCCGAAAAGAGGTGTCCATTCACCACCCCGACAGTGGGTCCTGGAGCAGGACTTGAGCAGGCTTGTTTCATCCAACTTTTTGTTCACCGTGGCGCTGTGGTGTGACCTCGTGTGAGGAGTACTCACAGGTGTCATCGGATGTCATTGACGTTCTTCCTTTTTAGATTTTTTAGGGCTCCAAGTGGTCCAAGGCTTGAGGAGATGCAGCAGCCACACCGCTGGGCCAGTCAGCTGCATGTCGTTCTCGCGGAAACGTGGCCACCGTACTGGCTTTATATGTATTTTTGTTCATCCGTGCTGCAAGGGGCTCACGGATGACCGGATGATCCGTGGTTTGGAGATGGTTTGGAGATTGTTGGTATGAGCCACCTGCCAATCGCATGTCAGTCTTGGATAGCCAAGACAAGCATGGCATGTGACCATTTTGGTTTCATAAACACGCATCCCGCATCCTGTTCAGCGCATTTTTTTGCAATTCATGAGGGAATTCAACAACTTCACCGCGCAGTAAGGCGATCGAGCACATCCCTTTTCTGAAACACTTAGCCGCGCAAGGCGCGAGTGACAGAGAGTGGGACGAGAGTGCCTGGCAGGGGGTTCTGCGGGTTTCCAAGTTCATTCAGCTGGAGATGCCCAGAC